GTTTCATCGCATGCGTCAAGAACCTGGTCAGTTTATTAATGATTTTCTCTCTTAGATATATTCTATTTGGGACCAGCTTGCTCTCTCTGAACTTGAGTAGCCTTATACTAAAAATGCTGCTTTATTTACTAAGTATCGTAGTCAACAACGATTGGTTCAGTTTCTCATGGTTCTCACTATCCAGTTTGAGCCAGTGCATACATCTCTACTTCATCGCACTCCACTGCCCATTCTTGAACAGGCTATTTCCAAGCAATTATCTGAGAAGACTCGTCTTAGCACTCTTCACACTCATCACGTGGATATCGTTCTCTCCACTCCTCAATCACTGAGTTCCCCTTCACCAACCACCCAGCGGACCACCACTTGTAATTATTGTCAAAATTGGGGCCTTTCTTCTACTCATCCTCTGCTTTATTGCCTAGTAAGATCCTGTTGGTACTACAACAAGATTAGTCCTGGTCATTTGCAGTAAGATTGCGATCATCTACTACTCATTTCTCTCGTGGTACTACTTCACGAGGTTGTTCACAATTTCCCAGGAATCAATCCAATCAGTCCGGATCTCTATTTGATTATGACATTACTATTGTTGCCTCTAAGGAGTTTTCTGAGCCTTTAGATCCGGCCGCTCCTGTCTTTTCTCAAACTGATGTTGAGGCTATGTTCAAACAGTTTCTCACCACGTCTAGTACCCCCATTCTACTGCTTTTTCTGTGACTTCAAGTACATCTCCTTGGTGTTTTGACTCAGCATGTTGCAATCATATGACCTTCAATTCCACTATTTTCTTCTATTTCTTCCTCTCCTCATATTCCCTCCATTCATACTGTTGATGGTTCTCTTATGTTTGTAAGTCATGTTGGTTCTGTGTCACGACCTAAACCCGCCCTTATAGGTTTAGCATCGTAACAAGCTAGTAATCCTGGGATTACTGAAGGCCTCTGAGACAGATTAACATAATATTAGGGGCTAGTGGAAGCAAACAACAAATATATAACGTCCATTGAGACGTGCATACTTATATGAGACAGAAAAATTTTAAACTTTTTATATACATATTTACACATCATCTTTACGTCATCACATATATACAGATTAGACAAAAATGGACTTAGCCCTATTTACAAAATAAACAAAGACTTGTTTAACTAAACAAGAAAACAAAACTTAAACTTTAATCACATAGCCATAACCACTTGACATATTTGGAACCTTTACGGTAGGCACATAGGTTGGCTGACAAAAATAGATTCCAAGCAGACGTCTCTAAGCCTGGTCACACGTCTGATCACCTACATACATAAATAATACAATGAGCTGGAGCCTAGTGAATAATAACAAAGTAAAGGGTTTTAATGAATGATGTCCATCAGAAAGTCAGAAATCAGAGTTTATATCTGGAACAGATTCTTATCAGAAACAAAGTCTTATGCATATTCCAATTTCAAATCAGAAACAAATTCATAGACATGTTCATATTCATATTCAGATTTTGCATAAGATTATATGTGATACACTCATTAACGCTAAAAGATCAGATACAAAGCATTAAGGATCATACTTGACCAGTTCCATAAAGGAACCTCCGATACCGGGAACAGATAGCATACTTAAGCCACAGTATTGTTACCCCCGGGCGAGAGCCATGAGACCATGGTATTATTATCCTTGGGCAAAGGCCATGAGACCACGGTATTATTACCCCCGGACAAGGGCTTTGTGTTTATAGGCCATGGTATTATTACCTCCGGGCAAGAGCCATGTGCTAATATATAAACAATCATTCATTGATACAGAACAAAGCATTTTAGAAAACAGATCATTTCTTGTCATATCATATAGGAAAATACTTAAACGTGAACATAGCTTTACAAAGTTATTACTCACAGATAGCTGCAGAAGCAGATCAGACAGATTGGACAGATTAGATAAATCAGACAGACAATAACATGTGACCTACACAAACATATATCATATACACATTGAAACACAATATCAGTTCCTTGATAAAACTTGACTTTTCTTGTCATTTTCTGTCTAAGTAACCCAAGGTTCTACCACTTGTATTCTTTCTTTATTCAAGTGAATCGGGTTCTCATTTCACATATTCTTTTATTACTAAGTCCTTTTTCAATACACTGATTTCTTACTTGGTATCTTAATCAATTATTATTAAATCAATGACTTATTCCTTAACCAACTAAGTTATGTTGATTGTTAGCTTATTAATCTTTATTGACTCATAAATCATGTCTAGAATGCTTTGGGAGGAGAGGAGAAAAAAATACAAACAAAGTGTGATTTTTCAAAACATGTTGAAAATAGCCTGGCTACTCGAGCCACCATTTGGTCGCTCGAGCGAACTGTACTATCTGTAAAAATACTGGAAGCTCGTAATGTTTAATCGAGCCACCAACTAGTCGCTCGAACGGTCTAAAAATTTTCTAAGCTCCAAAACTGAAGATTTAGCTTCCAAATTTCATTTCAAAACTTAGATTCATGCATATTTAAACATGTAATATCATTAATAAATATAAACACTTAAGTAATTTCCAAATCGTAATGCAAACACCTCCTTAATTTGTCAAGATTAAAACTATAACTTCATGAATATAATGATTCAAAACTTTTCTTCTTTTTTCTTACAAAATATTAAATTAAAGCTATAAGGCTCTTAGAAAAACACTTACATATATGAAATTCAAATTAAGATCAAACTAATTCTTTATTGTCAAATTTAAATTATAATTTATTTCTTAATTTTTCCAAATTTAGATTTAATTCATTTTCTTCATATCAAACCCAATTTCAAACTCATAAATTATAAAACATAAATTAAGCTTTTAAAATCCAATTTCATCATCAAAACTCATCCAAAATTTTATCAAAACATGAAAATAATTATGAGCCATGATCAATCTTCAATAAATCATTGTTGCATGTAATTTATAGAACTCAATTCAAGAATAGTTCCCAAAATTGAACTCAAACTTAACAAATTTAAAGAATCATAACTCTTAATCTTTAACCTAACTTGATTTAACATGCAAAATCCAATTCCTATCAATTTACATGATTGATTCTCAAATCTTTAATTTTTTTCTTTAATCCTCTCAAAATCCATCTTGAATCAATTTCTAGAAATCCTTAATGCATGTACAATTAGTGTATCAAAATTTGTAGAATTTGTTCATGCATGGAGGAAATAGACTCAAATTCTTGCATGATATTCCAAAATCAAACCCAAAATAATTAATTCCTAAATTTATTCCATAACCATGAACCTAGATCCATTTCTTCATCTTCTTGCTAATTTCTTTTCAATTACATGAAATTGAACCTAAATCTTTTTTGATTGCAAGTATTAGGCGAATTATTTAGAAGAATTAAGCAAGAAATTTAGCTCAACTTGTTGAGTTTTTGAGTTCTCTCTCAATCTCTTATTTTTCCTTAAGCCTTTTTTTTTTCTTCACTTTAGAGTGAATTGGTGAGCTCTTTAACCTCTCAGCAAAAATGAGATGGTCCCTTACCTCTCTTTCTCTCAGTTTACTCCACCAAATGAGGTAATGAAAGGGGCTCCAAGATACTAATACACTCCCAACACAATGCACTCTCAAATGATATACACTCTCACACACACAAACTTGATGACACCACAACACATGTGCACAACTCCTATAAGCTCCTGCACAACACTCTTACACACACACACACAAAATTGCTCAATACACACAAAATTTCTCTGCACACACACCCACATACACCCTTAAATTTTAGGGATGTGGGGATGTTGCTGCATGGGTTGCGCAACAGCGGCTGTTGTGCGGCAAGTTGGGCCCATTTTGATAATCTGAACCGTTCATATTTTAGAATACATCAAGTAGAACATGCCTACAAAACATCAAGTTAATCAGATATCGTTTACGTATTTATCCACTCATATTTGTATCTACAAAATAATTAATAATTGTGATTTAAAGTATTAAAATGAATACAAATGTGAGTGATAAATAGGTAAACGATATCCGATTAACGTGATTTTTTGTAGGCATGTTCTACTTAATGTATTCTAAAATATGAATGATTCTGATTATCAAAATGGACCCCAAAGTGGGCTTATGTTGCTGTACAGCAGTCGCTGCTTTGCAGCCCGCACAGCAACATCCCCACTTTCAAATTTTAGACCATTCAATTTATGATTAAAATTAACTTAATTAGGCAACACTTGATCTTAATACTTCTTGATTATCACATAACTTAATTGATCATAACAAATCATAAATCCCACATAATTTAATTAGTCTAATTTGATTTTCATTAAGGCCCAAGTAATTATATTTAAATTTATCATTCTGAATCAAATTTTTAATCAAACTCCCAGAAGGCTCCAAATATTAAATTAAACTTATTTCCATCCTCAATTTTGATTTCTTAAATCATTAAGGCTTTCAATTTCAGATTAAATTTCAAAATCTTCGTCAATAAATTACATATTCAATTGAACACCTCATAAACAAATTTAATTCATAATAATCTGAATTCTCAATTCACATAACTTAATTAACTCCAATTCAGACCAAATTAATCAAGTCTCAATTTCACAAATCTGAGTCGAATATTTAATTAAACTCCCATATGGTCCAATACTCAAAATTAAAATAATTCATTCACCAATTATACCCTTTTAAGCCATTTAGGTTTTCAATTTCAAATCCCTAAATAAATCCTCAATAGAATCATATACGAATTAGTCTTCATAATTTTCATAAATCCGAAATTAAATCAGCATAATGACCAATTAAAATTTAAATCTCCTTAATTAATTAAATGCTAATTATTATATGTGATGGGGTTGTCACATTCTGTTTCCACCTCGCATCTATCCTTATCAAATGTTTATCTTATTCCTGCTCTCACTTTAAATCTTATCTCTATTAGTTAATTATGTGAGCTTGGTCTAATTGTCACATTTTCTATTTTATGGTTGTTTGGTACAGGACCCTCAGACGGGACAAACTCTTAGGATCAGTCGTAAGCATGGACGTCTCTATGAGCTCATCCATCTTCATGTTCCAGACTTCATCTTGTTAGTTGCTCCTGCATCTGCTTCCAGTATATCTCCTTTTAATCTTTGGCATTGTCGTTTAGGACATATTTCTGTTAGTCGGTTGAAATCTTTAGTTTTTACTGATTAGTTAGGTCATGTAATTCCTGATACTTTGGATTGTTTGTCTTGTCAACTTGCAAAACAACCTTTTTTTCATTTAATACAAGTACTTCTGTTTCTCATGCACCATTTCATCTTATACATTCTAATATTTGGAGACCATTACATACTACAACTATAGCAGGCTCATGTTACTTTGTTGTTTTTGTTGATGATTTTTCACATTTTACATGATTATTTCTCATGAAAAGTCGATCAGAACTCAAACAACTTTATTACAATTTTGCAAAAATGATCCAAACCCAATTTTCTAAAACCATTAAAAAATTTCGATCTAATAATGCTATGGAATATAGGGATCTTGATTTTCTCTCATTCCTTTAGCATCACGGTACTCAGCCTCATCGTTCCTGTGCTGGCACGTCCCAACAAAATGGACGTGCTGAATGGAAGCATAGGCATATTTTTGACACTACTTGAGCTTTACTTATCTTTTTCTCATGTCCTGAATATTTATGGGGAGAAGCTACTCTTATTGCTGCCTACACTATCAACTGTGTTCCCACTCCTACTATCAATAACCAAACTCTTTATGAATGTTTACATGGCACTAGTCCTCCATATACAAATCTTCGGGTTTTTGGGTCTGCATGTTTTGTTCTCCACTAACTTCATGAACACACTAAACTTGAACCTCGTTCTCGTCTTTGTTGCTTTTTTGAGTATGGGATTGAACATAAAAGCTATCGCTACTGGGATCTTATCTTTAAACGTTTTCGTGTCTCTCGTCGTGTGGTTTTCTGGGAGCATAGAATGTTTTCATCCTTATAATCCTTCCATCTATCATCATTTTCTACTTCCACTATGTTTACTAATCCGTCTATCGATCTCTTTTCTAATGACTTCAATGTAGATTCCTCCTCTCTAGAAACGCATTTGCCTACACCTGCTCCTGTATTGACTGCTCTTTCTGATGGTCCTGCTGTTCTCCTTCTGGGGTCTCCAGCTCCCATCGAGTGTCCCGTTGAATCCCTTATCACTCTACTAGAACCGCCTCCCACAGGTCGTTTAAGTCAGGTAACTGTAGACGTCCCCGAACGCCCCGGGAGAATGAGTCCCGTTCTGTTCGTATTGGGGTTCACTACAAGTTCGGACTCTCAAATTGTCACGATTCTAAATCTGAAGCAAAGAGTCCAAAACCGGCAAATCGTTTTGAGAAAGCAGATTTTGAAAGAAGTGCCAAACATGGACTGCTTTGCCAGATACAGAGTCGCCACCTAAATATTTTATTTTGGGGTGACTCGTTTGCCTAAGGCCACATGTCCGTCATCACCAAAGTTGCCTCGGCTCGGGAACTTGGGTACGATTGGGGAAGGTCACTTCGTGAGCACCCCTGCTCGCTCAATCAAAGATCGGCCTCTACTAACCATGATATCTATTTTTGAAAACATTATGCGTTCTTATTCCGGTTATTAGCCTAGATTTACTATGTGATGCGCACAGCATACAAGTATAGACTGGATCGTCTGAATTGGAACAAAACATCTCGTGTTTGTTTATTTGAAAGTGGTTTGCTACTCACAAGTAAGCTTAAAATGCAGATTTTGCCACCCTCGGGTGGGCTTAGAAAAACATGGTTTTGCCACTATCTAGTGGGCTTAAAACTCACAATTGATGAATTGTTCCAATCCAAATTACCCAACCTTCACCCACATGCATTCAGGCAGTTATATCACATAAGCATATAGCCTCATGGTAAGCACGCTATTCATGGCAGTCACTCACACGCATGCAAGGATGCTAAAGCATAAAACTTACCGAGTACTCCATGCCAAAACAGAAGCTAATTAGAAATCCATGCATGATCCTAATTATACAGAAATGCCTAATGCAACACATGCAAATGTGCAACTATAGCAGACTCGGTTATTCTAAACATGACATATGAAATGCTACAGCTAACATGTATTCAACTTGGAATTGAAAATACAATGCAGTTAGTATGATGCACCGAGCCCGGTGCATGCAAAACAGATGAATGAATGCAAACATGCTGTCATACTGTATGCTAATTGAAACATGCCCTAATCTAACCATCATAAGCGGGTAAATAAAAAAGAGAAAAACGTGGGGTTGGAAGACATACATCGCACACACGCACACTTATTACAGTTGTGCCCTCGCGCAGAGGGTCCGAATAAATAATATACAGTCCCAAATGAATAATACAGTCTGAATAAGTACAAAACCCTAATTAATTAACAAATTTAACTAGGAAAGCAATAAATTGACATGCAAGCCAGGGACTGCCTCAACTCTGATCCGGATGATGAATGATGCACGTTCGGGTTGCCTTGCGCGGAAATCCATTGCGATGTCCCAATTAGCCTCTGTTTGCAATTGCTCTTGGGATGCGTGCCAAGCTCCGGAAGGCTGTTGACTCTTGACTTGTTGTAATAGAGAGCAAGAAAGGGGCATGGCAAAGTATTTTCACATATGTATGCATGACTACCCTTCAGGGAGTGTAGTCCTCGATCCTCGTGCCACCAATCACGCATCTCGATGCATGATGGCCGAGGAGTCGAATTGCACGACTCAATATGAAATGAATGCACATGAAAACACGACAAGACCTAAACTCCATCATGGATAATCCGGAGTGTCGGCGACCGGGAATTGAGACACGTTCCGTCACTCGGAGTACGAAACGTCCCTCGTTTCCCGTGCTCAGGCTAACTCCTATCCCGAGCACAATGCAATATGCATGACATGCATGAATGCAACTAATATACAACCTAGCATGCACAATGCTATGTAATGGCATACACGATGCACGAGGTAACATGGCATACGCAATGAGCTAACATACAACCTAGCATACACAATACTATGAAATGAAATGGCATACACAATGCACAATGGACTTACACCAACATGAGTGGACCTCAGCCACACTCACATCAGTAGCCATGAGATGAAAATGAGACACTCAAAATGCGTGCACACATGCACGTAAATCGAGGACCAAGCCTAAGGCATCAAATGCCACTCTACTCAAAGCATGGCAAGGTATGGAACATGATATGCAAACATGCGAATTTTAGTGCTGAAATATGCTACAAAACAGCCCCGAAACATAGAAACATGGCACCCGATGCATGGAATGAACTCCGAAATTCGAAACTGGGCACATGGAATGACTTACAGCTATACAAAGCATGCATTATTTGATCATGAAGCATGAAGACAGATGCAAGACAGTCCTAAAACATGCATATTTCCAGTTTATAACAAGCCTAAAAAATGAACACAAATAGGGCTAATCTATCATGCAAAAATGGCCCTAAAAAAGAGATTAAACACAAAGGGGCAGCAGCTGGCCCCAAATGGCAAAGAGCCCTTCAACAAAGTTTAAGAGGGGCTCAAAACAAGGCACTTTACAGTTTACATCAAGTCACGAAAATAATCACAAATAAGGCCAAACTATCATGTAAGAAAAGGCCTAAAAGAGGGGTAAAGAGACAAGTGGCAGCTGCTGTTCTCAAACAGAGGAGAGTCCTTCAACAATGTTGAAGAGGGGCTCAAAAAAATCTATTTTACAGTTTATGGAAAAGTCCAAAACACCTCACGAATAGGCCTAAAATACTATGCAAAAATTGGCCTAAAAGAGAGTTTAAACACAAAGGGTGAGGAGGGGACCTCAAATAGAGAAAGACCCTTAATTAAACATGGAGATGAGCACAAAATATGACTATTTACAGTTTGGGTCAGAGCCCAAAAATGCTAGCAAGTATGGCTTAGATACAAAGCAAGATAAGGCACAAAAGAGGAAAAAAGGGACTCACTCTTGTAGACCAATGGACCAGCAGCTCTTGGACCAATTTTGGGGGCTCTTCACCTCTGGAAAGCAACCTCAAGTTGTTGGAATGGAGGATGGAGGCCTTGTGCTATGAGGTGTAGGGTAAATGGTGTAGGATTAAGGGTGTTTCGGTGCTTGGAGTAGAGAGAGGGAGAGATTTAATGCAAGAGCTCCAAACTAAATCTTGTAACCCTCTAAAATGCAGCTGGGGGTGCTAGTTATATAGGCAAAGGAATGGAGGAAAGGGGGGGAAATCAAATTCAATTTTCCCCCCCAAAAGAGCCCCCTTCGGATATAGGATCAGGGGGGAAAAAGAGGGCATATCTGTAAGGAACCAGGTGAGGGGGTCATGGCCAGCCAGGTTCAGAAGGTTCAGGTGGTCGGCCGACCACCTCCCATGGCCGGCCGACCAAGGGTCAAAAGGATCAAGCACAATTACTGGCCGGCCACCTCAAAAAGGTAGTCTCCTATGTGTACACAACACAACTATGTGGTTGAAACCCAGAAAAAGTGAACCAAGAGAGAGAAAAGACCATTTTTTAGAGGGGGTCAAAAAGGTTAGGCACAATTACTGGTCGGCCACCAAATATTGGTGGCCTCCCAGGTGTGTACAACACAAATATGGGGTTTAGGGTTCAAGAAAGTGGCCCCGGGGTGGTCAACATTGGCTTTCAAGTGAGGAAAACGGGCGTCGGAGAGCGATGAAGAAATAAAGCTGGCTTTTCAGAACAATTGCTGGCCTCCCACCCTCCTACAAGCTTCCTAACCATGAAAATAAGGTCTCCACCAAAAATGAACCAAAACGGATGCAAAACGGAGGTGGGGGGCTGAAACACGCAGTTTAGGGCCCCGAAAACAGGCTGTTAGGCACCGGAAGTGGCGTTCGACCACGAAGTTGGTCTTTTAGACCACAGTGTCCCTCAAAAGGGAGGAAATAAGGTGTATGCCAAAAACCGAAGCAAACAGAGGTGGTTAAGCGGTCCCGAATTGAGGCACACGGCCGTCGGCTCCGAAAAATCGGAAACCAGGCTCCAAACGGGAAAAATGGCCTACGACCACAAAACGTAGCCTACGGCCACTGAGAGATGATCTACGAGACCTCTCCCTTCCTTCGGGAAAAGAAAACAGGGAAAACAGAGCCTGGTTCGCAAACCGAGGCAAGGCACGAAAGAGTCCGGAAGTCCTGAGGCAAGGCTCGCAGCCGAGACTCTGAAACTTCTGAACGAGCACAATATGCAATATCACCGAGCGCTCAA